GCTGCAGTCTCAGCTTGCGTGGTGCCCCACAGGTGCTCTCTCTGAAGCCGGAGAGCTCAGACCCACCAAACGCATCACAATGCCTCAGTGGTGGTGAACACACTACCTCAGAAGCCTCTCAGCCCATCTTTCCCCAGCTCTACTCAGAAAGTTGTTTCTCAGTTGAGCCACACTCTGACAGTTCCTAACCCTAGACAAGTAAGGAGAGAAGATATATGTGTCAGGCAGAAGTGGCCTTTCTCTCTTTGATGAGAATGCACCACCAGGACCCTCAGACTGTACCCACTGCAGGGAGACAAAAGCGGGGAGGAGAGCCAGAGGAGGGAGTTGCCCTTAGGGACTTCTGGGTGCCTGGTTGGCCTCCCTGGCATGGAGCAGTGACAGCCACCCCCTAAGACACCCTGGGCAGAGCTACTAATCTTGATGACTCCTGCCTGCACTGTGTGGAGGGAGCAGCTGGTCACACACTGAGTCCAAGGAGAAGGTCTGGCCTCCTCCCCTGAGAGGAGGAAGGAAGGGGACAACCAGGAACAGGGAGGACTGGGGCTTCTCTAGGAGACAAGGCCCTCACAGGAAAGAGAAGCTCCACAGACACGGAGGCTGGTCGAGCTTTGCCCATTGGGCAGTGGTATGGACTGAGCTGTGTCTCCCCCAAAATCCAAGTATTGAAGCCTTAACCCCATTATAGCTGTGTTTGGAGGCAGGGCCTTTAAAGAGGTAAATAAGGTTAAATGCAGTCCTAAGGGTGAGGCCCTGATCCAGCAGGTCTACTGTCCTGCAAGAAAAGGAAAGGACATGAGAAGTACACACACAGGGAAATCCACATGAGGACACAGGGAGAAGGCAGCCGCTGCAAGTTCAGAAGGGAGTCCTCACCAGAAACCAGCCCTGCTGCCACCTTGATCTTGGACTTCAGGACTGCGAGAAAATGAGTTTCTGTTGTTTAAGCAGCCCAGCCTGTGGTACTTTGCTACCGTAGCCCAAGCTGACTAATACAGGGAGAAAAAATAAATAAATAGCAAACAAAACACAGCCAAATCTATTGGAATATCCAAGATTCTTCCTTTTGCATATTATATGTTAAAAAGAAAGTAAAAATGTAAAGACAAGTGTTGGCTTTTTTATTTTAAGTAGTGCTTAGCACATTTAAAGCAGTATAAATGGAGAAGGCCATCACACACATCACCTCATTTGACACCCTTCATTTGACACCTCAGCTCACAGCATCTGTCTGGACCTCCAAGGCTCATCCCATTCAACAAATGTTTGAGCAAATATTTGACGGCAGGTCTTGTGGAACATATGTGTGAGAGGGAAGGGCTGACCCAGGGTGATATCACAGAGATGAGCAGCAGGGACCCAGCTCAGCACCTTCCCTTCCGAGCAGAGCCGTGTCCTCCCATGAGTGTGTCAGGGCAGAAGCCACAGAGTCCACGTGGGGTCCTCTAGAATCTGCACCTGTGAAAACAACTGCACCTCCCTCATCCTCCACGTGCCTGACTGGCCTGGCTTTCTTGCCAGGGGTTGGGGGAGCTGCCCAGAGGCGGCCCTTCAACACAAGAGCAGCAGGAGGCAAGCAGGAAACCCAAGGAACTGCTCCCTGAAGAGGAGCAGCCCCAAGGGGTTGTGAGGGGCCCGTGTCAGCTTGGCCTCGGAGATCCCAGCAAGGGTACAGAGGAGCACAGTGCCGTTGCCCCCTAGCTCAAGCACTCTCCCTGCTGCCTGGCCCAGCTGCCCAGCCTCTTTGTCACTGGTCACATGATTGTTTCACAAAACAAGTGAACAAGGCATGGCTGTATGAATTTCCAGCTCCCCACCCACCAGCCTGGGCAGGTCACAGCATCTGTCTGAAGCTCCATTGCTCATCCCATTCAACAACTGTTTGAGCAATTTGACGGCAGTTGCAGAACATACGGCTTATACAACACGAAGCACATGTTTCCTTAGCAGTTACAGCACATCTTACATGCATGCCAAAAGTATCTCAATTAAACAGATGGTGTTAATATTCAAAGATGAGGAAACACATTCTCTACATTGTTGATGGTATTTATGTCAGCAAAGGGAATTTGGATTGGGAGGGTGAACGGATATTAGAGCTTGGGATCCACAGCCAGACCAACACAGGCTTTCGGTGGCTGGGAAAAGGGTCAGGTGCTCTAACCTTCAGGGTCTCCAGCGCTGGGTTCAGGGTTCCCGACCAGGATCCTTAAGCCCCATCCACTTGACAGCCTTGCAGGCAACACCAAGGGGGGCTCAGGCCTCTGTAAATATCTGTTCTTTCTGCTTACAGTCCTTGCAGGAAGGGATGGGCTGCATTTAGCTGCTAAAGCCTCTTCCTCTGTAAGCTGGATATTAAGGGATGGAGTCCAGCTAGATAAATAAACCAAGTCCCTGAGGCAAGACCCTTGCCGCCCCCATAGACTGGAGAAGGTTCCCATAAATGGTCTCTGCGCCAGCAGCTGAGGGGCCTCCTCGTGTTTCAGGATTCGGGGGAGGAAGGGCCACGAGGAGTTGTGGCTCACATCCCAAACCCCACTCCTCACCGGGCTAACACCACGGGGCCTGGGGATCCTCGTGTGCGGAGGAGGACAGACGTGTGCTGGCAGCTGGCTGGATCCTGGAAAATGCAGAGGGGAGGGGAGGGCCTGTGGGAACCCTAAAGCCCCAGGGAGAGGTGGTGGGAAGGTCAAAGGCCATCGCTGTTTACTCCCAGGCACACCAAGCCCCTGGAGCACAAGGCCTGTCAGGCTCAGTAAAAGACAAGCACAGCGGTTCTCTGGTCTCCTGGCTGTCTAATGGGGGAAAGGAGTTGGATAAAGAAGGGCCATTATATCTTAAAATTATAAAAAGAGATGGCCACATGCACTGTCAGATGCCTATGTCATTGTCACTTAAGGCATTATGGGGACAGGTGGCAAGACAAGCACCCTGTAATAATGAGCTCCAACCCCTGTTCTCCTGCTATCCTTAGGGGACCTGCGCTCTGCCTAGTGGCCAGGCAAACAGCGTTGGTCCACAGACTCAGGAGGAAGAAGTCACTGGCTCTGTGAGGATCAGCAGAAACCAAGCAGCCATCCCATTGCACTGCCCAGGACCCTGGTGGGCACCACACATTTGGAAATATTAGGGAAAGGGGGCAGAAGTCAAAACGGAAAAATAAAGCAAGTAAGAGTGTCTGTCCAAAAGTCACCAAGAGCAGCTTACAAATCCTGTTCACAGGTGTTGTTGCCTTGACGCTCCCGCTGGGGTCCTCACACTTCAGCGCAGCAAGTGTGTTTCCACTCTGAGTCGTCAGACCAGGCCAGCTCCATGTCCCAGTGCCTCAGCACAGTCTTTGCCCCCAGCTTGGGGACTGGGGGATTTCGCACCACTCCCTCCAGCCTGCTCTGGGTGTGAAGGCAAGACCTGCATGCAGTCCTCACCTGCAGCCTGCCTGGAGCACGGCGCCCCCAGTGAATGCTGGCTGGAGGGATTAGTACACTCATCATGGAGGACAAGAACCCTCCCCATTTTTGGGCAAATAAACTGAGGTTTCGATTTTTTTTTTTTTTTTTGGAATTATAAGAGTAAACTGGGAGTTGTTCCAGAGCTTCTGATTCCAAATCTCTCACACGCTACCTTCTCAATGTTAAGCGAGACCCTGAGCTAGGGAGGACTGCCTTGATGGTTTTCAGCAGGCCCACTCGACAGTTGCCAATGAAGGGATGTTCTGGTACTGGACTGAAGGGGAGATAACAAAAAGAGACCTCAAGGGGTGAGGTCAACAACAAGGGGAGACAAAAAAAGAGACCTCAAGACCCCAGCACCCCTGCTCTCTCCACCACAGGAGCGTTCAGCATTTGAAGATGTGAGTGGAGAGCCTCAAGGTTTTGCCAAACTTGAAAATCATCAGAGAAGAATCACTAACATCTCCGTTCACTATGTGCCAAGCGCCCTTTGATACACATTGCAGGTTAAAAAGATAAACCAAAGCACAATAAAATTTTTAGTTTGGGAAAACAGGGATTCAAGAATCAGGCAGCTCTAAAAAGGAACTGGTTTGGGAGCTCCATCAAAGGAATGCAAGAAGGAGATTTCTATAATACAAACAAGAAGTCACAAAGAAGAAAATATTTAATTGATTATGAATATGCAGTTGCCTTACTGGGCCTATCCCATTGAAAAACCCCCAGTTACATACAGGCATACCTTGGAGACATTGCTGGTTCAGTGACAGACTACTGTCTGCAAATACTGCAAATATCACCATGAAGTGTGTTTCCCACTGCATACCAAAGTTATGTTATACTATATTAAGTGTACAATAGCATTATGTCTAAAAAAGCAATGTACATAGTCTAATTCAAAAATACTTCATTGCTGAGAAATACCAATGATTATCCCAGCCTTCAGAGACTCGTAATCTTTCTGCTGGTGGAGGGTCTTGCCTTGATGTTGACGGCTCCTGACTGATCAGGGCAGTGGTTGCTGAAGGTTGGGGTGACCATGGCAATTTCATAAAATAAAACAACAGTGTGGCTTGCCACATCTGTTGGATCTTTCATGAAAGATTTCTCTGTAGCATGTGATGCTGTTTGATAGCATTTTACCCACATTAAAACTTCTTTCAAAATTTAAGTCAATCCTCTCAAGCTCTCCCACTACTTTATTGTAATATACATTTATTATATTATTAATTCTTTGTTGTCATTTCACAGTGTTCATAGCACTTTCACCTGAAATAGATCCCATCTCAACATACCACTTTCTTTACTCACATGTAAGAAGCAACTCCTCATCTGCTCAAGTTTTATTATAAGATCGCAGCAATTCAGTTGCATCTTCAGGCTCCACTTCTGATTCTAGTTCTTTTGCTGTTTCCACCATATCTGTAATGCATTCTCCACTGAAGCCTCGAATCCCTCATAGTTATCCCCAAGGGCTGGAATCAACTTCTTTCAAACACCTGTCTATGTTGATATTTTGACCGCCTCTCATGAATCATGAATGTTCTTAACGGCATCTAGAATGGTAAATTATTTCCAGAAGATTTTTAATTTACCCAGATCCATCACAGGAATAACTATGTATAACACCAATAGCCTTACAAAAGTGGTTCCTTAAATAATAAGACTTGAAAGTCAAAATTACTCTTTGATTCATGGGCTACAGAATGGATGTTGTGTTAGCAGGCATGAAACATTCATCTTCTTGTACATTTCCATGAGCCTTTTGGGTGACCAGGTGCCTTGGCAATGAGCAGTAATATTTTGAAAAGAATCTTTTTTTCTGAGCACTAGGCTTTACTTTTGTGTTTACAATATTCATTAAACTATGCTGTAAACAGAGGTGCCATCATCCAGGCTTTGTTCTTCCAGAAAGAGGAGATTTCACATAATTCTTAAGGACTCTAAGATTTTTTGGAATAATAAATGAGCATTGATTTAAACTTCAAGTCGCCAGCTCCATTAGCCCCTAACAAGACAGTCAGCCTGTCATTTGAAGCTTTGAAGCTAGGCATTGACTTCTCTCTACCTATGAAAGTCCTAGACGATATCTTCTTTCGACAGAAGACTGTTTTATCTACACGGAAAATCTGTTGTTTAGTGTAACCACCTTCATCAATGACCTTAGTTAGATCTTCTGGATAATTTGTTGCAGCTTCTCCATCAGCTCTTCCTGCTTCACCTTGTACTTTTATGTTACGGAGACAGCGTCTCTCCTTTAACCTCATGAACCAACCTATGCTAGCTTCCAACTTTTCTTCGGCAACTTTGTCACTCTCTCATCTTCCATAGAACTGAAGAGTTAGAACCTTGCTGTGGATTAGGCTTTGACTGTTTTGATCTTCTATCAGACCACTTCAACTTTCTTTGTATCAGCAATAAGGCTGTTTCATTTCCTTGTCATTCATGTGTTCACTGAATGCATGAATGATGATTTTCTCTAAGAAATTAGTTTTCTTGAGAATGTTTCTTTTGCATTCACAACTTGGCTGTTTGGTGCATGAGGCTTAGGTCTCAGCCTGTCTTCACTTTTGACATGCCTTCCTCAGTAAGGTTAATTGTTTCTAGCTTTTGATTGAAAGTGGGAGATGTGGACCCTTCCTTTCACTTGAACACTTAGAAGTCACCAAAGGACTATTAAGTGTCCTTATTTCAACACTGTTGTGTCTCAGGGAAAGGGAGGCCTGAAGAGAGGGAAAGAGAGGGAGAGAGACTCTGTTCAGTAAAGCAATCAGAACACACACAACCTTATCTATTAAGTTCTCGGTCTTATGTGGATATAATTTGTATCCCTCGCAGACAATCACAACGGCAATATCAAAGATCACTGATCACAGGTCACTATAACAGACATAATAATAATGAAAAAGTTTGAAATATGGTGGGAATTACCAAAACGTAACAACAAAGTGAGCACACGCTGTTGGGAAAATGGTGCCGATGGGCTTGCTCAACAAAGAGTTGTCAGGAACCTTCAATTTTTAAAAACTCACGGCCGGACGCGGTGGCTCACGCCTGTAATCCCAGCACTTTGGGAGGCTGAGGCGGGTGGATCACGAGGTCAAAAGATCGAGACCATCCTGGTCAACATGGTGAAACCCCGTCTCTACTAAAAATACAAAAATTCAGCTGGGCATGGTGGCCTGTGCCTGTAATCCCAGCTACTCAGGAGACTGAGGCAAGAGAATTGCCTGAACCCAGGAGGCGGAGGTTGCGGTGAGTCGAGATCGCGCCATTGCACTTCAGCCTGGGTAACAAGAGCAAAACTCCGTCTCAAAAAAAAAAAAAAAAAAACTCACAATATCTGTCAAGTTCCAGAAAGTGAAGTGCGATAAAACAGGGTATGCCTGCAATTGTAAGTGAGCTGGCTGCTTCTGATTGGTTGAGATTATGTTCTATTTTTCTTTAAAATAGATATTTACAAGAAATAGCTCAAGTTAAGTCTCTGAAATGTTTGCAAAGCAAGTGAGGTTAAGGTCACTTAGTAGGCTTAATAAACTTTGTCTGCTCAGGGCTTCTTCAGTCCTGGCCTCCGTGTTAACTGTGGCAGCTGCCTCTGAGACGGCCCTCGAGGGTGCTCATTCAGTGTGAGAGTGAGTGGCTTCCGAGGCCACAGTATCATAGCCATTGCAGCTTCCCCTGTTCTCCCGGTGACTTGCTTTTGGGGAAGCCAGCTGCTGTGCTGGGAGGACACTCAGAGGTCACAGGACCACCTGCCAGCCACGTTACTGAGCCACCATGGAAGGGAAGGCCACATGGCTGCAGCTACATCCCTGACCCACAGAAACCATGAAAGGTCATCAATTGCTCCCGGTATTTTAAACCCACAACATTTGAAGTGATTTAGCAATAGATAACCAAAGCACATTAATAATTAATTTTATCATCACAAAAAACAAGTGTATGTATATTATCTTTAATAAATGAGGAAATGGGACATGGGGCAAACAGCCCAGTATACATTTGATAGAGCCAGGTTTCAAACCATATGCTTTGCTTCTCACTGTACTATCCAAGACAGTGGACAAAATTCATTAAAACTTTTTAAAAATAAAACACTCCGTTTCTCCGTTTGTGCTATTCACATTTCAAGTGCTCAGTGTGGCCAGAGGAAGCTGTACTGGAGAGTGAATACAGGACGTTTGATAGTACCATGCTGGTGTACCGCATGTGCTTTTAACCTCTAAGTTTATCATCTAAAAATAAATTGGAGATCTTTGCTTGTATTTACCAAGGGAATTACCAGTTTTGAGTTGGTCCTGGAGTGTAACTGGAGGGTACAGACAGTGGGCTCTAGGCATTTGAAGATTCATTCCCCACTCTGGATACACCAGGTTGGAAGAAACTCAGACTTCATGGAGACTCTCAACCTCCTTTCTATCCTCTCTGAAGTTCCCCGGCACTTTTTATCACTCAGCACATTAAAACTCAGTATATTAAGACACCTGCAGTGGTCTAGGAAGCTTGTCTCTCAGGCCTACCACTGCTTGATTTTATTGTCCGTTGATCACTCAGCACCCACACAGAAGACTTACGTGGCCCAAGCACACTGCTGGGCCATACAGACACCAAGGAGAGTAAGATGCAGCCCCTTGCTTCATGGACCTCACAGTCCTCTGGGCGGTTCCTGTAAGGTGGTGCTGTGCTCTGCAGTACAGGAATCTTGGAGGAGCTGTGGAAAGACAGAGACTGAAACGAGAATGTGCAGCTGCTAGGGATGCTCAGGAAGGACACACGGAAAGATGCATTTGAAGTGGTAGGACAGGAACGGATGGCCGGCAATGGTGAAGAAAGGCTGATGCGCTGCCCACACAGACAGTGCTCCAGAGAACACAGCTTGCTCCAGATATAAGAAAGAGTCTGAGGGTGCCACAGTGATGAAGACAGATGCCAGGCTCTGCAGGGCTTCAAATGGAAGGAGAATGAAAAGGGGATGTGTTGCCTTTGCATTCACCTCTACGCTGTGGGGCTACATTTGGGTCTAATGGCTGCCTGGTCATCAATTGCACACTTGGAGGGTGAATGGGGTGGCCACACTGTTTTGATGGGGTTCCTCCACTTCCCCACTGACTCTAGCTGGGCTCAGGTGGGTGGCAGAGAACAGCATGCAGGAGCATGGCAGGGACCATCGGCCTGGATGCAGAGGAGCTCTGACAAATCTGCAGAAGGGCTCCAGCCAATTCACAATAGACATCAGATGAGTATCTTCAACAGCATGACGGAGGTTGCTGCAGCTGCTTTGCAGACAGAGGCTAGGGCAGAGGCAGGGGGCTTGGGCAAAGGCCACATACAGGGTCAGGATAGAAATCCACAAAAAGGGCACGACAGTAAAACTGCCTTTAGGGGAAAGCCCACCATTCACAGATGACGTGGCAGCCACAAACGCAGAGGGAAGTAGACCTTAGAATAAAATCTTCAATAAATCAGTGAGCAGGTCATTACGTGACTTGGAGTTTGGGTCACTTCTCAATAAACTAGCCGTTCACAGATTGTTTTTCAGTTAACTGATCTGCTTCCCAAAAAAGGGCCTAAGCAGAGGGCTCCACTGTGGCTTCCAGAGTGTTCACTCCGGTCACCTGCTGAGATGTAAGAAATGCAAAGGAAACTGAACTGCTCAAATCTCTGAAGTCCCTCTCTTTCCTTACCTCCCAGCACAAATCCTCCACACAGAAGGCTGAGGTCATTCTCCACGGTATGCTTCAAGCCTTTCCATCTTCACTAAAATGTCTTTTCTTCAGGTTTCTTTCTCGTTCTCCTGCTGTCGCCTTGCCCTCCTGCCTGCTTTTGCTCTTTCTTTCTATAAACAATGATATAAATTACCACTTAGCTTGAGCTGCTTAGCGTATCCCCTGTTCTTTATGGAGACAGCGTGTTCCATAATGGATCACCTTTGTGCAAAGAAGCAATCCCAGTAATTAGGTGCACTTTTACAGAGAACCCAAGCACCATAACTCAGAAGATCATAAGCATTTTTACCCTGGGGAAGTTCAGTTTAACGCAAAATAAACATTTGTTTCCTGTCCCTTATTCTAAATTGATTGGGCCATTTGTCTAATTTAAACACTCTATAAATTGTACACATCCTCCAAAGATAGGGATGAGGTGGAGGCCCTCGATGTATGCTTTTTCCTATGGCTTGAATCCATCACTGTCTCCTGCAAGGCCCCTTAGCTTTCTCCTGAGTGGATGGAGGCCCCATAACTCTCTGATCTGCTTCATTTTCTCTGACACCCCTTAGGATCCTTTTTCAGACAATTTGGCCAGAGAATTATGGCTGACTTTCAAAAGAAAGGAACCAAAGGCTAAACTTGAACTGCATCTTGCGATACCTTATGTTTTGTTAGCACAACCATCAAATTCTCTCCAATTTCTCTTCTCTGTCCCTTATAAAAGATTTGAAAGGGAAAAGTCAAAGAAGGTAAGGTAAGTTGAGTATGAATACTTGTGGTGTGCAATATGCACCATTTTTAGCCAATTTAGCACAACTGAATATTGGGGAGGAAAAGTCTCTTGTTCAAATGATTAGCTTCTCTGGTATATGAGCCTTCAAGAAGGGTGAAGACCTGTCTTGGGATTTACATCTCCAACTGGCAGGTTTTCTCGACTTTTCAAATCTTGTAGGTAAATTATAACCTTGATATCAACCAGACTCCATTTTGTTATAAATCAATTAGGCCCCAATTTGTTGCTGTTTTCACTTTTAAAAGCTAATCTTGGTTGTCATGCCTATATGTTAAATCACATAATAGAAGAATATATGAACTGGAAGGAAGATAAAAGATCAATGAATTCAAC